GGCTTCTACCTGGCACCAAACATAGAGATTAAATCACTCTGCACTGCTTGCTTGTTAATTTTAAATTTTACTGATATACTTTCGCATTCCAGCCAAATTTGCCCCAAACTGCATCACTGACTTTTTAACTCCCTGTACACTGGAACACACAGTGAGGTGACAGGTCTTTGGACAAAGCTATTATATCTGTCCATCTTCTGGACTCACGACCCACACACACTAAATAACCTTCAGGCCCTAAAGGCAGATTGAGACAAGTTGTTGCCACATGAGCAGAGATGACAACAAAGTCATCATCACAGTAATTGTGAAGTTCATGTTAATAACTAGCTATTGTCACACTTCAGGGCTGCTGTGGCTCAGGAGGTAGAGGGCAGGCTGTTAAATGAGTACCCCTGTTTTACATCAGTTTATTTGTCAGGAGAATTGCTACTTCTGCTAATTATTAACAGAAGGCCCGTACTACAAACTGTTACACATGCAGAATTCATTATTTCAGCTTCTACTGCTCAATATAATCATTATTTCTTTAGAGTTTCCCTGGTAAACCCTACAGCTTTATGGAAATTATATACTAAATTGCAATTTGTTGTACTTGAACACATTACCGAACCCCTACTCAGATGGCACATACTCAAATTTGCATGCAAAAAACCTGTGTCTAACGTGCAAGAGTGTGTCTGTAGGTGGACATTACAGTTGTGTCACTGGTTTCTGTTCCTGATATCTTTCTTCCTGTAGCTTACACTGACTAGATCTGCAGCGCTGCTCACTTAGAGGCAGCTGTGGGGCTCACAAATGCAAATGTCTGAGTCCTGGCAAAATCCACATTACATGGAGGTACTCAGAAGGATGAGCCATGCTTCAAAATTACAAGACGTCAGTCACATGAGCAGGTCAGCAACATGTTGGGAGATCTTACAAAGCCCTTAATCACAAATGTATTGTAAATCATAAATAAAATCTTTAATTATAATCCTTTGTTAAAGCCCCTGTCTCGTAGAATCAGCTCCCTGTGGGTCCCAAGGCTTGTTAAAGGTGGTTATATGCCAGTATGAAACGTACATATACTGGCAAGGGTCACAGAATGTGCTACCTTGTATTCATCTGGGCAAATGGACACTGACATTGACCTTTTGCTTTAGTGCAACGTTAAACCAAATGTGGGCAAGCCTTTAGAAGATATGTCAGTGAACAATTCACAATCTACATTTAGATGTACTGTATACAGTAACTATGTATGTATGTAATGAAAAACAACACTATTCCTGCTCCACCACTGTACTCACACATCATAAAAAAACATTTCTGTTTCAAAGGCTGGCATGCATTGCGCTCTCTTACCTGTGTTATTTAGGCCAAACAACAGGGGACAGGATATGGCAAAAGACAGTACCCACACCACGGAGATCATTACTGTGACCCGTCTCTTGGAGCTGTAGCGTGTGTTGTACAGCATTGGCATTGCAACTGCTGTGTAACTGTAAGGGGTGAAGAAAAAATAGCCACTTTAGATTACAGTGTATGGGAATATGAAACCTCTGTGTGAGACATTAGAGAAAGTATGACAAGCTAAAAAAAAAGTTCGTCATACACCTGTATGGTTACCTGTCATCTTGGATTAGACTGAAACAGATGTGATGTCTGCTGCAGTTAACATGAAGGCTTCCACCACCGTCTCGCAGGAAAGACCTTACTGTTGCTACAATGAATGATCTCATTACCTGGTCTTAATCACCAGGAAAGTCAAAGCTTTTAGCGGTTTCTCATGCATTGATTTCTGTGTAATTTGGTTTTAAAGATTTTAGAAACCAAGCCAAGCGATTAAGATGGGCTTTTTTGGTTGAGGTTCTTTATGAATAGCACACAAAGGAAATCAGGATGACTCTAAGGCTATTGTACTTTTCCATCTGCTATATGTTGTACTGGCTTGTACAGCACGTACCAGTTGCAATGCACTACCAACATGGGTGAAACAATTGTCATCAAAGGTAGATTTTATATTGTGTTAACAGTTGATTGTTTTCAATAGTGTTGCCTAACGTATTATATGAAGGACTTCCTTCTCACATGGTTAAATGTCAGTAGGCTTAGATGACCAAGGCAATGATATGGGCATTATAGCAAGAGTTTTAAATTAAAGGAATGTAATTCTGCATATCACACCATGTACTGGTACCTTAAAGGCAACATTTGTAATTAAACTTTATTGAAGGCTTGGCCCTGCCTCTCATATGTAAATAGACTTGAAACTTGAATAATCATGAGAATTATTTACTGCATCTCCTATTAAATCGTGTGACATGCTACAGCTCTATGTACAAACTTCTATGTTTTTCTGTATGCCAAATATATCATGGTCATATTTTATGTGACATTAATGCAGGGGTTAATTTGTGCTTGAACACACCGGCTTTGAATCCCTCACACTGCGACAGACACTTATTTTGACAAACTCGGCACTTTATGTATATATGAAAGAAATGGGTTATGTGAAAAACATTGTAAATAAGAGTCTGCGAAATACAAAAAGACATGCAAAACGTGCTCGAATCACTTGTACTTGACCTTTATAGTGGCACTTGAAAATCTTTGTCTTCTTGTGTGATTTATTTGTCTCCATAAACAAACAGCAAATAATGTTTCTGCCTCGAAGGTGCTCCCTTAACGTAAAAACTACTCAAACACACTGCACATTGAGGAACTTTTTTACATTCCGTGACTTCTCCTCTTTCCACACTCACTTGCCGGGTCCGTCATCGCGTGATGTTCCGGCACCTCAGAATTTACAAACTAATCACTGCATTAATGGGACTATTATGGAGACCTGTGAGTTGTGCAATTATACTATTAATATACTATTCTGCAATTATTATATAAATAGTTTTATTATTTTTCTCTTTCTCATTGTATTTGGACTAGTGTACTGTAACACACACAAATATGCGAACTAAGTGAATTAACAAAAGTTTTAGACAACACAGAAATTACAGAAAATGTTTTGCCTTGCTAAGATTGAAGCCTAACTGTTCTGACTTTGTCTTGTAAAATATTTTAATGTGTGTTATGACTCACTGAAAGCATTATGATAGGGAAGTGTCTTCCAATTACATTTAAAAACCGCCTGCCTTTTGACAATATAATGGGAGCTCTGTTAAATCATTTTGGCATGTGTATATTCATATTGCCTCCTACACAAAAGCAGTTTTGTCTTAGGCCCATTAGTCTTATAAAGTGGCTTCTAAAGAGAAAGTGAATAGATGATTTGATTGGTCATTGTTGGAGGGCACCCCAACTGCTAATAACGTATTCACATTTGCTTAACACAATAACTAACTAATCTCATTTCCAGCCTTTGTTCATAAAATTACACAGGTAAACTGTCAATGCTCGTACATGCCTATGTTCTGAGTGTGTACTTGCATCTAGCCACAGATTCGCAATGTTATCACTTCCCAATTTGCTCTGCAGTGATGGATAAGAACAACATGAGCAGAGAAACATGAACAATCCCAGATGTATGTTATGATACTGCTGCACTGTTGAAAGGAAAGGAATTTGTTTGTGACTCATGCACTATTTAAACTTTTAGAAAGTATTGTTGAGTCTGGAGGGCTTGTTGGTCATATAGGGGTGCACCGTGAAGTGTACTCAGCCAGGATTAAGTGATTCTTGATACTGTCACACTCATCCTTTCTGTATTCATAAGCACACAGCAAGCAAGCACAAGTCCTACAAATAATATGTAAATGTAAATTTAGATGCTGTCCCTCTCTGGCATGCTTATGACAATTATTTCATAGACACACAAACACTGATCTACCATGAGACTATTTGGACTAATAAGCTTTTCTCCACATACAGTATGAGAGACCGTAGTGTTCAAATTCAGTCACTTCAATTAGAGCTGGGTGACAAATCAAAGGAAGAACCTGAATAAACAAGTAACCTCTTCCAGGATGGCAGTGCCCCATCCACAAGGCACGAAGGGTCACTGAATGGTTTTACTAGTATGAAAATGATGTGCATCATATGCTGTGGCCTTCACAGTCACCAGGTCTCAATCCAGTTTAACATGTGAGAGATTCTGGAGCAACGTGGTAGACAGCACCATCATCAAAATGGCTGTGCCTGTGGCTCAGGAGGTAGAGCCGGTCATCTCCTAACTGTAAGGTTGATAGTCCAATTCCCACATTTCAAAGTGTCCTTGAGCAAGACACTGAACCCCAAGTTATATCACCGATGTGTGAATGAGTAAATAGTATGACAGCGCTTTGAGTGTGCTGTAATGCATAGAAAAGCACTGTACAGGTATAAGACCATTTACCAGAAGTAATATCTCTCAGAGGAACAGTGTTCATCTCTCCAATAGAGCTTAGAGACTTGCAGAGTCAATGCCAAAGAGCACTGAAGCTAGTCTAGTGGTGCATGGTGGCCCAACACCTTACTGAGACACTCAGTGTTGGTTTGTCCTTTCATCTGTCACATGTTTGTTTCTCTGTGACTGTGGTCGATAATGATTTTGTATATATGGATTTAAAATAAAAAAAATAGCACTGAATCCTATAGTACAGTATGCTCTTCTTCTTCCACTCTGCTTCTTCCTGCTGTTTGTGATATTTGACTCTAGTACAGGCAGTCTCTTTAATCACTGACTCACCATGCCACTTACACAACTAATTAAGTGAGTTTATTTTTGGACACGGCATTAATTAAGGCCAGGAGAATGAGAGATTGTGACAAGCCATAAGGCACTGACATGCACTGGTGTTTTAAATAGCACTTAATAAGCTGGCCTGGTGACCTAGTTTGCAGATCAAGGCGTCCTGTCAGCAGTTTTACAGGCGTCTCTTTTGTCACTGTGATTTATGGAGAAAATGCTTTTTGGGCCTTAGTTGATTTGTGTTACAGTACTGCGACTGGCCACTGGGAAAAAGTGGCCGAATAGCTGAGCAGTTCTCATGATACAGTAGATTCACGGTGTTGTCAGGCGTGTGCTCTGTTGCACAGTGATGTCATAGCATACTGACCACACCCCTGGAGTACAAGTTCATCACAGCAAGTTAAAATACTGGAAAAACAAGCTATTAATGTATAGACATGTTTCCATCACTGCAGAACTGAACAGTCTGTGCCGTGGCGAACTCACCGATCAATGCTGATGGCACAGAGATTGAGGATGCTGGCTGTACACATCATCACATCCAGAGTGACAAAGATGTCACAGTGGATCTTGCTAAAGCGCCATTCTCCCACTACCTAGAAGAAAAAACATCAACAAACATCAAGAAAAGCTCTAAAGTCCAAGTTGTAAGTAGGGTCTATGTACATTTTACTGCATACATAAAATCTAAACAGGTTGTTATATTTACAGTATGTTATCAAAAGAATGTTACACCTGATAAAATCTAAACAGGTTGTTATATTTATGTTATCAAAAGAATGTTACACCTTAAATGGTGGAAATTGATGGATTACCTGATTGCACTTGTTACATCCTTACATTAGGAATTAAAAACTATTGATTATCCTCTGAGTTAGTGAGGTAATCAGCATACATCCTGGCCAGCTGCCTGGGGAGTGGGGACCCGATCAAAGACGTGATCAAAGCCTCATACCTCTGTTACTATTGATTACATGGTCAAACACCATGATGAAACTAACAGTGATGCTCTGACAGGTTCAGTGCCTCCCACCTCGCCCGACAGTATTTGCTTCCTCCCACAGTTCTGAAAAGGGTAAAGGAGATGTGTGTGTCAAGGGGCAACTCTTACCTCTCTGTGGCCGATTAATCTTTGTCTCTATGTGTCTTTAGGCTGAGGCTGTGTTTTTATAGAACTAGGTAGTAGCTTAAAGAGCTGTGTGTTGTTACTGCTGTCTCCAATACTAGTGGTGATTAGAATGATTTGACATCTTAATGTGTGCCCTACCCCCACCCCCACCTCGCTTCTCTACTTTTATTTTTGATTTTACCAACCTTTTGCTCCTGACATTTGACTTGTCTATATCTCTGTACTACCCGGTTCGTTTCTGCATTCATTCTGTCTGTTATTCTTCTTCAGTACGTTCACTCAGTTGCTCCTCTCACCGACCCAGCAACACAACACGTACTCGTGGCTATGACATGGGTCTATGTCTAACAGTGTAGGAAGGACATTCTGTGGATCCTAAAATGCCTTTTACAGCATCATCTCTTGGGTATGAAATCAAACAAATATATGCTAAAAGAGGATGATTATTATGAAATACTCATTGTGCGATATACTTTCTCACGTTAATCCCTATTTCAGACCCGGCTACACCTACGTACCTCTCTAACCTCAGTTGTAAGCTCAGGCTGTGTATCTGTGCATATCATAATTCAAAACGTATCAGCATTCCAGATGTATTTGACAAGGTATGGCATTGGAAATTGAAAACAGTATTAGGGGCTGGGGAACAGCAAAAATGGTTAGAAAGTGCAATTTGAGACATCACTTACAATCAGAGTCAAATGAAACTAACGCTCCTCGCTCTTTCGTCTAAGAATCAGCTGTCTTTACGCTGTTCATAGTAATCATAAAAAACAAAAACTATAGTAAGCAATTAAAGGAAAGTCCACTATTTGGACTTTTTCATGAGATGATAAATATTTTGTTTTGGGCCTAAGACAAGAAAAAAAGATGAATACTAAGTGAATAATAGATTTTAAAGGACAATAAGAGCTGCTGACTGAAAACTCTTGTTGCAAGAACAATATTTTTTTATGCACACTTAAGGTATGTACTGTAGCGTTAACTCTTCTTTTGCTATGTCAGGAACCAAACATCCGAATCATGCTGGTGGTGGTTTAGGTTGTCTCATGGTGAAGGCCAGGGCTGAAGTCTTCACGTGCTAATTGGTTTCACTTACTGGTTAGGTTCCACACTGCTTAATATATTTTCTTATTATAACTGTGTCTGTGTGTTGGAATTTGACCTTGTAACTTAAATAAAGGGGAGGGAATTAGTTTTCTTTAAAGAAAGGAAGAAAGACTTCAAGCCCAAACAAAAGAGGTACCAGAGGAATGAAACTGAACAAATGTAATTTTATATATAAATAATTTTAGAATCTGTGTGTGTGTATCTTTGTATTACTTACATTATGGGGAACGAAACGTGTTAACACACTCGCATTGTGTGGACTCAGCCATCCTTGGCGGGACCAGAGGCTAGTCCCCACAAGGAAATCACTGAATTTTAGGGTGGCAACATGGTTTAAGGTTTGGGTGAGGTTAGGGTTAGGTAAATAGTATCTAACAGTGTAGGAAGGACATTCTGTGGATCCTAAAATGCCTTTTACAGCATCATCTCTTGGGTATGAAATCAAACAAATATATGCTAAAAGAGGATGATTATTATGAAATACTCATTGTGCGATATACTTTCTCACGTTAATCCCTATTTCAGACCCGGCTACACCTACGTACCTCTCTAACCTCAGTTGTAAGCTCAGGCTGTGTATCTGTGCATATCATAATTCAAAACGTATCAGCATTCCAGATGTATTTGACAAGGTATGGCATTGGAAATTGAAAACAGTATTAGGGGCTGGGGAACAGCAAAAATGGTTAGAAAGTGCAATTTGAGACATCACTTACAATCAGAGTCAAATGAAACTAACGCTCCTCGCTCTTTCGTCTAAGAATCAGCTGTCTTTACGCTGTTCATAGTAATCATAAAAAACAAAAACTATAGTAAGCAATTAAAGGAAAGTCCACTATTTGGACTTTTTCATGAGATGATAAATATTTTGTTTTGGGCCTAAGACAAGAAAAAAAGATGAATACTAAGTGAATAATAGATTTTAAAGGACAATAAGAGCTGCTGACTGAAAACTCTTGTTGCAAGAACAATATTTTTTTATGCACACTTAAGGTATGTACTGTAGCGTTAACTCTTCTTTTGCTATGTCAGGAACCAAACATCCGAATCATGCTGGTGGTGGTTTAGGTTGTCTCATGGTGAAGGCCAGGGCTGAAGTCTTCACGTGCTAATTGGTTTCACTTACTGGTTAGGTTCCACACTGCTTAATATATTTTCTTATTATAACTGTGTCTGTGTGTTGGAATTTGACCTTGTAACTTAAATAAAGGGGAGGGAATTAGTTTTCTTTAAAGAAAGGAAGAAAGACTTCAAGCCCAAACAAAAGAGGTACCAGAGGAATGAAACTGAACAAATGTAATTTTATATATAAATAATTTTAGAATCTGTGTGTGTGTATCTTTGTATTACTTACATTATGGGGAACGAAACGTGTTAACACACTCGCATTGTGTGGACTCAGCCATCCTTGGCGGGACCAGAGGCTAGTCCCCACAAGGAAATCACTGAATTTTAGGGTGGCAACATGGTTTAAGGTTTGGGTGAGGTTAGGGTTAGGTAAATAGTAGTTATAGTTAAGGTTAGGATAAGTCTACGGGAAATGAATGTAAGTCAATGTAAAGTCCCCACAGTGTGGGTTTTCTTTTGTTCCTCTCTGTCCTTCTACCATCAGGTTCTTTACTGAATATAGGAACTCTGTAACCAACCAGAACTCTTGGATCTGGGGTCTAAGATGCCCTGTATAACAAAGTTAGAGACAGATCAGCCCAAAATCCCCAGCGCTGACTCACACCCAGGGGGAAGGCTACATACTGTATATGAAAAACAAATGGTATTCAATGGAATAAATGTAAAATGGTGCCATTGTGATACTCAAATATCTAAAATGTATATATTTTTGTTTAGTTTTGGATACATTTGTCATAATAGAAATTTTAGTTGGGCTTTAAGTTTGCCATGAAATTCCACTGTCTGAAAACAGTGCAGTTTTATTCACCTTGATTTTAACCTAACCCAGAACCTCAACTCGTGCAAAATGTTCCCTTCATGTTCTCTGCAAATCAGTCACATTTGGCAGAAATAAAAAATGTTATTTTAGCATTTAATACGGCAAAACACACCGCACACCCAGAGATTATTATGGTATGGCTGATATTTAGCTCAGAGTGATGTGAACTGTGTTTACCTGTCTATAGAGAAACTGTAAGCAATGAAAGTATTAAAATTCCCACCTCCACCGGATCTTTTTTTCAATTTGCAAAGAACGATACCAGTCCAGCAGTTTATACCACTTCACATTAGAAGGATGCCTCCAAACACATGCTGGCTAATCCATTTTGACTATGACAGCCAGCCAGTACAGTACTTAGTTGCCAGCATGTTAGTCTGAGGAGGACTTCACCCACATTGCTGGTATTAGTCCATAGGGACAAAATGCCTATAAAACAGAAGGAAGTTTAAGTCTGCCTGTGTAAAGAGCTGCTTATAAATAGAGCTCTTCTCTGTTACTTTTGCAGATCCATTTGGGACAGGACATCACTAACACTGCTCTCGGAGTGCATTTCCCTCCTTCCTTCTAACATTATAACAATTCTAAACTTAAATGAAATAATAATCATGTCAGTCTCTGATCTAGATTGGAATTCCTATGGCTCACATAAATTATTCAGAAACAAATTTTCTGATTTAAATGTGTCTAATTTGGCCCAGCAAGTAAATTAATGAAGAAAAGTAGCAACAAATGTGTCCTCACATGTATTCTGTTTCATTTCAAATGATCCCAAGAATTATCCAACAAAACACATCTGACATACAAAAATTAGGCAAAGTTTAATTACAAACAGTTGGTGGATAGATTTGTGCATTTTCAGTGCAGAAGTCTTTTGCTTTAAAGGACACTAGTCTGAAGGAGTTCTACTTCTGTGGCTCTGGAAGGAGCTCTTACGTCTGGAAAAAAGGCTGATAACACCACTGGGTCACCTTGGCTTTGGCCTGGAGTCTACAAATATAACAGAAAACCTATGTTACAAAATGGGAACATTGAACTAAAGATTTAACAGACTGGGAGGGTCAAGTGAAATGATGTTATTAATTTGCATTATGTAGGATTTGGCAGCTATATGACCCAAAAAAATCTAAGGCTTTTGTTGCTTCAAGTTTGACCATATGTTTTAAAACCTGACCTGTGACTTCATGGAATTGCCCTTACCAATTTTTGACACTTGCTCCTGTCCTCACTAAAGGCTTGCGTCACACTGGTGGGTTTGTCCTAAGATAAACTGAAGCCTGAGGATGCCAGCAGACACAAGACAGAGACAGACTACTGAAGTTTTCTTGTAACCTCCTGCATCACAGTTGTTAAATCCATGTCCGAGAACATGTTGTGACTTTTTTTCGTTGAACGTTGCACACCAAATGTGCTGTCCGTAATCAAACACAGCTGGAAAGCTTTGCAATTAAACCACTTTACACCACTTGGCACCAGGGTTTTGCTCTGATGTCAAATTTGATATTTTACTGAGAAAGTTTTATGCTACATTTTGGAGCTTTGATACATGACTGATTACAATTCAAATCCTATTTTCTGAAATGCCTTGATGTGGGCTCCCTCTGTGTGTACCCAGCTGCACACATCAACAAAAAACCCAAGTAAACAATTCTGATAAAAACAAACGCAGTATGCAGGTTGGTTTTATTTATGGAGAAACAAAGGTTTTGTGTATTCATTGGTAATAGCAACACCACTGGAATAATAATTTATATCATCCACATGTATAGAAAGAGGCTGAGACTGTGACACCCTATGGATTTATACTCTGTAATCTGATCAGATTAGAAGACTTCATGACTCACTGAGACACAGAGGAGGATTAGTATCCCTGTAGTCTCAGACTGGCTGTCTTTGTATCAGACAGAGTGACCTGGGAGCCTGATGGTCAGAATTAACCCTTGGACAGAGAAGATAAAAGAGACGAGCGAAGAGTGAGAGATACAGCAAAGAGAGTTTTCTGAAAGATGGCCCCACATCCTGAGTGCTATTGATTTGGCAGATTGGAAATGATTTTATGCTCGCCCCTAATTTGTGTTTAGTTTTAGGATGTAACGGTTAGCAGGTTATGATTTGTCATAAAAACAGGTCTACATTATCCCACACAGTAGTGAATGTAAGATGCATCCCAGAAATAGTGTTATTACAGTAATAAACATATGACAGCACTGGACTCTGGTCTGGCACACAGAGTGCTGCTATTACTTTGCTGCCACAGGCCTTTAACCACTGCAGGACTGATATTTACAATGCTGATGTGAACACAGCTTTGTCTCACCTTGGGCCTTTGACCTGCTGATAACTGTGAGCAGCTGGCTTGGCTTAAACCCTTTTTACGAGTATTTACAGGCACCAGATTTCAAATAAATGCCAGTCGTATGCATACATACACTTTGCTGTTTGTGAAACTTGTTTTTTTTTGCAATTTGTTTCTTGCCATCTGCGGAAGTCTGGAGTTTTGTGAATTGTGATTTACAAGGCTAAAAAAAGAATCTAAACTGGTGAAGTGTGGTGTCACCTGTGTCAGGTGTAACCACATAACCATCTACTTAAATCTTTATGTGCTATTAGGAGACCCTGACAAAGGCCACAAGCCAAAATGTTTTGGTCTTGCAATAAAGTTCTTCTATACGTTACAAGTGTTGCTGGATTTTTGATCTCAAATAATTTGAGATTGGTGATAATGTAATAAATGTAGGGATCTTCTTATAGCTGTTATACTGCTGTTCTGCAGTAGTTAGCAAGATGGCCCTGGTTCACACCTCATGGACATCCAGGGCCTTTCTGCGTGGAGTTTGCATGTTCTCTATGTGTCAGCCTGGGTTTTCTCTGTGTGCTCCTGTTTTCTCCCACAACCCAAAGACATGCAGGGTAACTGATGACGCTAAATTGCCCCTAGGCGTGAGTGTGAGTGGTTGTCTTTCTCTCTGCATGATTGCTTCATAGAGCATTTCGGATTATGTCTCTTCAGGTATCCATACGGTACATGACGGTGTGGCTGTGTGTATGTCTCTGCTGTCCTACCTCTAAGTAGACCACCCAGGGCATAACGAGTGTGGCCACCAGAAGGTCAGCGACAGCCAAGCTGACAATCAAGTAGTTGGTGGTGGTCTGCAGAGCCTTCTCTCTGGACACAGCCATGCACACCAGCACATTGCCGAAGACGATGATGAAGATGAGCAGCGTAAGCAGCATAGCGTAGTAGTTGTAAGGACTCTTCTGCTCTTGATGTGTTTCGTTGACGCTCCATGTTCTATTATCATAGAAACTGTCATTGTAGGCATAGTGGGTAAAGACATCCATTAGCTGTGTGTGATGAAGGCCGAGAACAGGCCCTGAAAAAAATGCAATTAAAGAAGGAAATCAGCATTTGACTATGTAGTTTTATTTATGTGGATGTTTGGAAACTGTTTTCCTCATTTTGCATGGAGGATGAATACACCAACCAAACAAAAAATCAACCATCCAGACTTTAAAACACTATGTATCCCCATTAATAAATACAACCCCAAATCAGAAAAGCGGGGACAGTATGTAAAATCAAAATTGAAACTGAAAATAGTGATTTGTAAATCATCTTTGTCCTGCGCTGCACTGAAAACAATACAGCAGCACATTATTTGATGTGATATCTCATCAATTTTATTGTTTGTTCAACGCTGATGCCTGTAACACATTCCAAAACAAGTTGGGACAGTACAACATTTACCACGATGTGATGTTGCTGTTCTGGTAACTACTTAGCAGGAACAAGTTGTCCATTAATCTCTTCAACCCCGCTGCACCCAGTAATGGGTCCAGCTTTAGTTTAAATTGTAGTTGAGACTCCAAATGTGAATAAAATGAAGTGGAACTCATCTAACCATGTCTCCATCTCAAACTATAGTCATGAATGAAATAAAAAACAAAATGTTTGAGATTCTGAAATGAAGCTTGAGTAGCTATAAGAGACTATTCAGGTTTCTGAAGATGATTTTTGTGCCCCAGGAGAAATACATAACTTTAATACAGCACACTGTATTATGCTGATTTCAAGTTTCATATACAAGGCTCATTGCCAAAAGCTACTTGACACATTTGAAATTCTGCCACTTCTCCAAATGAACCTCTTAAATTCGAATGCATTTCCTTCCTCCTAAAAATTTGCCCAAACATTTCTTTTTTAAATATTTAAAAAAACTGTGTTTCCTTTGGCAGGTGCATTTCTACATTTCTTGGCACAAAACCACCAACAACTGATGATCAGCGGAACCGTGTGGCTGGCACGTTTCCCGTATAGCCTTCTGCAGTTGGCAGATATTTGAGTTCTGTCAGCCATCAGCTTGTGAGTGTACACATTGGTCTTCATGTGTTAGCAGAGCATGTTATACAAACAAAACAGGGATGCCCTCGTTGAAGTATTGCTCTATAGCACTACTAGTGGTCAAAGGTACCAGAGGGTACTCTTAGGCAATGGGTTACAGTACTCGGTCTGTAATTCTCTAATTCTCAGGAATAGAGGCGTTCTACTTTTTTTAACCATCCCAACCTCTTCAGGCTCGACCATCTGCATCCCAACTGTTTCGAGTCACAGCCAGAGGTCTCACATATAGCAAACCTTCTTTGTTTGCAGTAACAATATATATTCTCCTTGCACATGCAGATTTGCAGTATTAAATGGCAGATCCCTCTCCAGAAAGACATTTATAGATAACAACCTTATTACTAGTCTCTCTCTGAACTGACAGAAACCTGGCTTTTTCAAACTGGGAATGGTAAACAGAATGAAACGCCACCTGCCAACTATAATTTACTTCACTGTACCCAGACCAACATGAACAGTGTCAGAATAGTCAGTCTTTACAAAAACTTTTTAAATGGCAGTTTAAAAGAGTTTTGGATATCTACATGTACCGTATGTGTTGTCGTCAACATGGTCAAACCGAATGTACTTTATCTTCTTATTTACCATCCCACAAAACTGAAATTTAGCTTCTTAGAGGACTTTGGTGAATCATAAGAGACTATGATAGTACTGTTGCCAGAGACTGATATTCACTTTGACAATAGCAGGATCATTTATTAGCCTGTTAGACTCATTTGAGTTCAGATAAACATGTTAGTGGCCCCACACTTATAAAAGGCCACATTTCTGTTTTCTTTGATTTGATTTGTTCTACTAAGTACAACAATACAGATACATTTATCAATAAATGCTATATCCAATTGAATTAATAAAAATCATAATAAACATCTCTATCCTTTTTGCCGCCACTGAAAACCTAATAAACATTTACTTATCTGACAAATGCACTGCGTTTGCCCCCTTTCTTTCATGATAACATTGCGAACATCAGAAACAACACTGCAGCCTCTGATGCAAATACGTCTGACATACTCTCAGTTTATACTTGGTGCATGATTAAACAGCCGCTGTGTAAATTTTCTCTAATTTATCCCCAGCCTAGTAAGATCTAGCTGCAAATTCTATGTAAAAGTGACAGGGTGTTCATTCAGACAAGAAGCCGTCAGATTCACTGGAAGGAGTGCATGTGTGAACAGTGCTTATTCTTCAGTGCTTCACTATATCACACTACATTTCATCCTGTTGTCAGATTTACCATTGTTAACTCTATGAAACCCGCCACTGCAAACTTTAGGAAGACAGCAAAAATACACACACACACACACACACACACACACACATAAAAGGCACATTTTAGTTTACAAATCCCTTAGCAGTGCAGTTCCCTCACACCTGTCTGGATTCATGTTTATGTCATCCTCCATTTCCATTTTCACTCCCTCCTTCCCTTGTGCTCGCACCTTAATTGGTTTGACAGCCTTTGGGGCTGCTGTTCCTGCTGCTGACTGGGATGTAATTCAAATGACCATCCAGCTCATTTTGTGGCTGCGCCTAATGTCATCTTTACAACTAGTTTCTTACTGCTGTAATGGTTTCTGTGGATTGCTTTTGCCTTAGTTGTTAGGTTATAACTACTGTCTGTCATTGTGATCTTTAAAAACTTGGTTGAATAAAATTAAAAACTGAATGAGAAAAGGGCTTAGTTTTTTGGTTCTATGCACAAAATGTGTCTATGCTTGGCACTAAAGTATTTATACAGAAGGTGACAGGTATGATTTGAAAGTTTTGTTTTGATTTTGAGAACACTTTCAGTACTCATTTACATTTATAATTTGCTATCTCTAATGACTACCATCAGGTCATGCCACACCATTATGCTCAGCTGTTCCAAATTGCAAATTTTCTACAATTAAGATCTCTCTGTTGGAGACCTGCTTATGTGTAAGTCATCAGCTTTGACCCAACAATCTGCTTGTTGTTTGGAAACGCAAAGTTTTGTGTTAAAAATTCTTGATTTCACTGGTTGCATTGGTAAGCAAAAAACAACACAAACCAAGAAAAAATGTGAATGTACTGAATGATGTTCTTTATATTTAAAGCACACAGTGGAGCATACATCCAGATTATCTTATATGTGAAGCTATGTTGTGTTGAAAGCTTTTCAAGCAGTGGCTTTCTTCATAGTATGGAGCTCTTAAAATGAATGTAGTAGCTATTTCTTTTTTGCACCCATTTCTTACATTCATCCACCTCACTAGAGATGCTTTTGTGGCCTTTGAGCCTTATATGAACATACTGTATGTTGTAATTCAAGGATCTTTGGAAATCTTTGAACAGAAGAAGTTTCACTTGTGAAGGACACACTGGCTTAGCAGTTAGTGATTTGTTTTTATTTATTTTTTCAATAGGATTGGGCACGTCTAGCCTAAGGTACATCTGAATGTCAGTGCACCGATTAGATTATACTTCCACTCAGGTTTGCACAATTGTTCTGACCTTAACTGTGAAACCTGAAAACATGTTTGCCTGCCATTTTAGTTCAGATTGCAATTATAAACATAATCAAACCACAATTTGGAGCCAATTAAAGCTGAATAAGTGTGATATCAGGGTACATAATATACAACTAGACAAAAGTGCAAAAGTGAGCTAGTAACAGAAGGGCATGCACATTTAGATGTGTGTAATTTTAGGTCTGTGCTGTCCATTTTATGTGGGAGAGGAGAAATTTAGCAAGAACCAGAGAGAAAAAGGGAGAATAAGGGAGTGAGTGAGGCAGGCGTGCTCCTGACAAGATGTGTAGGTATTACTCTGGGGCACCAGTTTGTGTGTGTACTCTGCCGATGCCCTGTGCCGTCTAAATGTATCTATTTGCCCACTCTACTTCCTTACTTACGGTACGTGAGACTCTTGTGACTGCTGGCCTGATGGCTGGTCCCTTTAAACCTCGGCACTCTCTCTCTCTGCTGCTTTTGATTTCTTTTCTTTAAATGGTGTCTTTTGTGACCTGTGCATAATAATAATAATAATAATAATAATAATAATAATAATAATAATAATGATGTCCTTCTCTGTAGGTAAGCTAGAGGTCAGTTAATGACCCAACAACAAGAGGTCAGTTAATGACCCAACAACAGAGTTGATAACGGTGTCTTCCTAAAACATATACATTATTTAAATGCAGTGTCACTGTCAATCTTCTAGTCCCTAAATTGAATTTACTGTCCATGAAATGGCTGTCCTCTAACTTAATGTTTCTCTCCTACTATGGTGCCAGACATTACTGGAGAGGCAAGAGTGATTTTACTATGGTTTCACTTTCTGGCTACAGTTCAACTTGATTAATAGTCAGCCGTACCTTTGAGCATTTTTGTAATTTTTGCTTGTACTTAGGGACTAACACAATTATAACCTAGATCCCTCTCACCTTTCCACAGGCACCTACTCTCCATGGGAACTGCTAATGTGATAGCAAGGGCATAATCCCTCACCAGCTTCCCACCCACAAACAGCTGTGAAACTCCGGTTAAGAGGCTCTGAAGGACTGTGCACAGGTCTTTGTTAGTAAGCAGTATTTTCTCATGTGACCCAGGCATCCTATGAACCGTTAGTTTCGCTTTCTGATTTTGCTATTTGATGCAAGCAGACCATTCACTGCCCATGGAGCTGCAGTCCATTACTCACAGTGCTTCTGCAAATTTACATAAATTATTTGGTCTGGCCAAAATGTTTGCCAAGCTGGTTTGTGCTCCCAGAGTACTGTTATTCTTGTGTTGTGATGTGAAGCTAATGTATCACGTGATGAGGTGATTAAGCACTGAATCAGCAGCTGCATGTAGCAGAAAGATCTACAGGATGACTCTTTTGGGGCATATGATTTTTTCAGGCCTTTTCTTCAAAGTTATTCTTCAGAAATGATCAGATCTTCTTAGCAGAAGATGAACAAAAAATGCAGGCCATACAAACATGAAGTAGGTCATGGGTTTATCA